CAAGAAGCAATTTCTAGATTAATACAGAGTAATTTATTTTTGTATTAAATTAATTTTAAAAAAAACAGGGAAAAAAACAAAGAATAAAAAAAAATATATTATAGAATTTTCTAAATTCTCTAGAATATTCTGAATTAAAATTAAAGAAATTACGTTCTGGAATTATAAGAAAAATTCTTTAATTTATTGAAATTTTTTATTAAATTTTATCACAGATATTACGAATTCAATTTATCTATTTTTTTTTTTTTCTTCTTCCTCTCTCTAGAAATTAGTCTAGAATTAAATAAATCAAATTCTAGGACTGCACGGAGCGTGTAGCTTTAATCCGAAAGAGACTAGTCTTTTGTTTTCCATTGAAAACAAAGAGAGAAAACGTTTCCATTGAACAAGATACCTTATTGCAGTCGAGGTATCTTGTATTAAACATAGAAATCTTAGTCAATCCAATTACTTTTCTAGTTTAACAACGGTGGCATTTCATTGTTTAGAAACTTTTATAAGTTTACTTGTCTCTAACCCTTTGTATACTGTTTAGTAAACATCCCAGGAGATACGGAAAGAGGAATATTCACAAAGTTAATTGTCCATAGATTAAAATAAGAAGGAATAGGGTCACGTTTTCTTTAAAAGGTAAGAAAATCGGTATCGATACCGATAGAGGATACAGTGTAAATGTCTCGTTTATTTCGATAATAGAATATATAATAATAATAGTAATAGCAATAGTAATAATCCGATTAAAGTTTAATAAAATGATATTAAGTAAAATTTTAATTAGATGCCGTGTTTACTTTCATTTGTAAACGGTTGTAATCTCTTAAATTTAATTAATATATTTTTAATTAAATATTTTATTTTAAGTTGTGTATAGGATTGAATTCGATAACATTTCTGTCAAAATAAATTTAAAATGTATTAATTGATCTTATTCATGAGTAATTTAGTCCCTTTTTTTCTATATTTAGAGAGAGGTTATTGTTTCGTATTCGTATCCTAGAAGCGAAACAATAACTATTATAGTAATTATATAATATATAAACTATTCTATTGAAACTATAAATAAGGAAACTTATTCTCTATAAACTATGATAGCTGTTGTATATATAAGAAGCTGTAATCCTTGTATATATCTAGAATAGCTTTTTATATAACAGTTTGCTTGTTATATCTAAGTCGCAACAGAACTGGTCTGTTTTCTAGATTTAGTCTTTGTTTCTCCTCCCGATATCTTTATTTTAATATAAGTAAACTTAGTTTTAAACTAGAAAAGATTATTTTACAAGAGTTTACTTTTCCCATTTAACATATTACGTATAACAAACAAAAATTTATCTTTAAACCGAATTAATATAATGTTCCAATTGTTACTGTGCATTCAAATTCTATTATACAACGACGACAATGAAAAGGAATTAGTTCAACGAAGAATTAATTTCGTTTTTTTCCCCCATTGCTTTTAATGTAATATAATGTTCAATTATTCCGAAAATTCTAATTTAACGTGTAATATAACAATAGAATGTAAACTAAGTGTATGCTAGTAGAAATCTTGTTAATTGATACTATAGATCTCGAATTATTTAACTTACCTATTGCCATATTTACCCAATTAAATATTTTATTAAAAATTAAATAGAAACTCGAGTTTAAAAAAAAATAAGAGGAAAAAAAAAACAAGTAGAAATTCTAGTAAAAATGTCATTTATTTGACCGAAAAACTCGTTCAAAAGATTAACTCATTAAGTGATAATTAGTTTCATTGCTATCTCTTATAGAGTTTCAGTTATCTCTTATAGTTTTCGTTGTTATCTCTTATTTTAGAATTCGAGTCTCTCGAACTTCATCATCCACTTCACTAAATACGTGGTGTATTATCCAAAAATGAAGGGTGGCCCATAAATCACTTAACCCGACATATAATAATACATCTTTATTTAGTTGACTTTCGGGTCAACGTAGATTTTCATTCTCCTAGTCTCTAGTTAAGTTTGTATTATAGAAATTATAGAAATATGAGTTTAAATTTTAAGTTTGAATATAAACTTACAAGTGAAAAATAACTTTGTGTGTGTGTGTGTGTGTGTGTGTGTTTGTGTATGTCTTATTACGAAGATACACAGGAAAAATCAACAAACAAAATAAAAATCCTTACAAGAATAGATTAAGTTCTTGGAGAGAATAGAAAAAACGGGTTTATCTTAAAATAACAAAAATTCTTAATTGAAAACTGGATACGTTTGTGTTAAAACTGTTTGTCGAGTAAAAACTCGTGTTTATTTGAATTACAGAAATTCTGTATTTCCATTCCCCGAACGGGCTGATGTATACTTTCTTTCTTTCTTTCTTTTTTTAAACTTATTTATTAACTTAGTCATTATATTTTTTGGTTTTCTGCTCTTCTTTTCCGGTGTTGTAAGAGTCTATCGATAAATCAAATAATCGATTTATCGAAGAATAGCACGTGACTCGGATGAAAAATCTAGTACAGTACGTCACCATGGGCAATGTTTAGCTCTTATTGTAACAGACTACTACAACAACGACCTCAAACCGATTTCATTTATTAGTGTTGAGTCGATGCTATAAAGTATCTTCCTCTTTTAATAACGGTTTGTAAAGAATTTCTATAGATTTTCTTAATTTTTCGTGTGATTTTCTTTACGAGAATTCTCTGGAAGAGGAAATGGATTTATATAACAGACTTTACTGTGGATTATTATATGAAACAACTTAATAACCAAGTAGACAATATAGAAACAAGAGAGTAAAACAGTAAGGACATAGAGGTAAAAAAATTAATATTGTATTTATTATTCCCGATATATATTTTAATTCTAATTCTTTGTTATGTATTTTAAGAAATACACACGGTTTAGAAAAGGCAGTATCTATATAAAAATTCCGAGAATCGTCCTGGGTTCTATAAGAAACATAGACTATGTTTTTATATCGCTACTGACCTAGCTATACACACTTTAAACATTGTTAAAATAACAAATACCCAATAATTTCTAAAGTTATCATGTGTTATTCGGAGGCGAAAAAAAGAAAGGGTCCATATGGGGAAAAACCCTAAAAAGAAAAAACAAATCTTTAAAATTTATAGAGGTAGAAGTTGTTTAAAGCATTACACTTAACTAATCTCCTTTATCTTATTTAGAATGACACTTTGAAGAACGATACCCGTCTTTCTTTCACATAAATTATTATTTTTTTAAATAGAAATCCTTGTGTAATTCAATATAAATACATAATTTAAACTCGAACTTTTTAAGAAGCTAAAGTAATAAAAAAGAAAAAAGAAACTATAAGAACATTGAACATTTTTTTAAGGTCATTGTAATATAAGAATAGGATATTTACATATTTCATCAAATACATGACTTGTGTAAGAACTAAAATATCTATTTAATTTACGCTAATTTTTTCTTAGAAACTTTATATAAAGTTTCTAAACTCTAAATTTACTCAAATGAAAGCTTAGTAAATAACACTAAGGAATCATTTTTCTCTTTTTATTCTTTAAGAGATATCAGAATTAATACCAATTTTTACTAGGAAACTTTAAGCAATTTAATTTATAAGTTGTTTTAAAGGGAAAAAAAAAATTGATTTAAGTAACAATTTCCTCCTCTCTTTCTGTGCGGGGGTTAATGTCGAGTTAAATCATTCCGACAATACGTAAATGACACGATCGAAAAATGATGATGATGCGCATTTTACTATAGCATCAAACATTTAATCAATTAAAAGTATTTTACTCTTTACGAGTGAAAACGTTCTTACTCGATCGATATTTTATTTTATTTTTTATTTTTTTATTTTTAATGGTTACTCGAAATTTAAGTTTTCCGAACAAATGATTAAACTTTTCATTAATCGTATCACAGTTTTGAAATATTAAGCCATTTTTCTTAGTTAATTTCTCGACTAGATCGAATTAAAAATGCTTTTACATCTAACTTCTGTTACTTTAAAACCGATAATGAATTGAATTAAAAGTGTTTCTGGTAGTTAATTCTTTTTTTTTTTTCTTTTCCTTCCCTTCGGTAACTTTGTTTACTGTGTTATAAAAGGTTAAATATTATAATTACAGACAAATATATTTTTAATAAAAATTCCAATCGTTCGCTTTATGGAAAGATAAAGAAGAATATTAGAATTTCTGAAATATTTTTCGGTAGAATCCTTATCAGAAGGATAGGTAAGAGCTAAAGCCTCTCCGATGGGAGGAGAAAATATATTCGTAACCATGGCAACCTCTGCATACTCACTCTAAAGGATTGCCGGTGATCCTTTTTTCCAGAAAGTCTAGAGTTAGGACAAAAATCCTATTTATGTACGATTATCAATGACTGTTAAAATGCTTTATATACAAAAATAGATTTCTTATTTATTTATTTCCATATGTTAGTCCATTCATCTGTATTCTTTTTACGTAATAATAACCACAAATTAGAACACTTCTTAACTAATTTTTTAAGATTTTTATATATTCTTAACTAATTCTGTTTTATATGTTTAAAATATACAAGCGAATTTACATCGAAATTACATCAGCAATGGCATTACGTTACACTTATTCGAATAAGTGTAACGTAACGATTGACGAAACGATTAGTTTGACTTCATCGTCGATGCGATAATGTTCGTCCAATCAATTTTCTGGACATAAATCCAAATTTCGATAGCATCAAACACTTATTTTTTTAGTGTTTTATGTGTCTTTTTTGGAGCTCGCGCGAATGCCAAAAGCCATACGAAAACACGTCGACGATGATGTCAACCGTAGTGTTTTCCGAATGCCTCGATCGAGGCGATTACGTGGTTATGAATCAACACACAAATCGAATATTCGATGGCATCGTATACAATTAACAGATGCGAAAAATCAGCTGGTAATTCAGCCGACCGTATTATCTGTAACATTAAGAGGATTATAAAGAAATCTTTTTCCGAATAAACCATATTTATGAATGAAGGATTTTTCTTTACAGGATTCTATTTCGAATGTAGACAGCGAGGATAGCGAAATAAGCGCATCAACTCCGGTACACGATAATGGGATACAGACGGTTGATTATCACGTGGAAGACGGTAAGCATCTCTATATATTAATTCGAACGTGCAATCATCTCTTTAGCAACGAGATAATTGCTAGAATATTTTGACTATCTTCATCGATAATCGATCGTTTACTTCCGTTTAATTATATCGATCGGAAAGTATATTACACAATTTAATATATTTTATTCGATAATAATCGAGATTTTCTTTGTCGTGTAGAGTTCTTTTTTTTATATCGATTATTTTTGATAATGGTGTTTTAGGTGAAGGAGAAGCCGAAGGGACGTCGGAACCACCTGACGACCATAGCGGAACCGAAGCTGATGATGTCCCTCTGGACATGAGCCGAGTTCGACACGAAAATGGACATGTTAATTGGTCACCCGATTTGCCGATCAATATGACAAAGAATAGGGACGATGTCACTCACCAAGATCACTCTTACGATAGAATGTCCACAAGTGTGAGTGTCAAATCCATTAGAAAATATTATTTGAGGTTCCCCCCTCCTCCGAACATCATTTTACAATAAATTTTATAAAGATATAAATTGGCAAATTGAAAATATTCGTGATTATTTTGTTTTAATATATAGAGCCCTTGTAATGGTTCCGTGATACGAGATGATTTATCGGTGGGAACTAAAGACGAAGACGACGATGAAGAAGAGGACGATACGGAAAAGATCGATACTAACAAATACGATCCAGATCGTTTGAAAGCCTTCAACGTAAGTATTAATTGAGATTTTCTTCTTATTTTTTTTTTTCTTACTGTATTGAAATTGTTAAAAATTTATTCGTTTCGTTGTTGGGTGGTGTAGATGTTCGTCAGACTCTTTGTAGACGAAAATTTAGATAGAATGGTACCAATATCGAGGCAACCAAAAGATAAAATCCAAGCGATCATCGATTCTTGTTCGAGACAGTTCCCTGAATGTTCGGAACGTTCCAGAAAACGGATAAGAACCTACTTGAAATCTTGCCGTCGACACAAAAGGCTTCGGGATCAAGGATCTTGGGAGACGGTAAAGAAAAAATTTAAGGCATTGAAGTTTTGATCTTTCTTTCCAATTTTTCATTTTGCTACTTTTTTTTTAAAAAAAATAAGAAAGAAAAACTATCTTATATTATTGAAGTTTTGAAGAATATTTTGTGTTTTTTTATAGCTTTTTCTTGTTTTATTTTGCATATCAATAGAGTAGAACAGCTCCTCACTTGACTTCACCCATTGCCGAACAAATTTTGGCTAACGCTTGCGAAAACGAAAGTCGGAACGCCAAAAGAATGCGATTAGGATTAAAACCCATCCCGGTAAATAGCTTATAAAATTCTTTTTTTTTTTTTACTTAATTAATATTGATTTTAGATGATCATTCTGTAGAATGTTATCTATAAGTCAAGCTATACCGTGTTCCAGTCAAAGATTGCTAACGATAAAATAAATTTATAGATAAATACTTTAAAAAATAAATAAATAAACTGCATAAAGTTGGCATTATTATATTAATATTAACTTATATCCTTTTCAGTCCCATTTAATAATTTCTTACGTTGCTTTGGTGCTGTGCTTCGTGTTACCGTTCGTGCTATGCAAATTCGAGATATATATATATATATATATATACTTTACAATTCTCATTTGTTTTTTCACCATTTGATATTGAAATTAGAACAATTTTTGAATAATTTTTACGGGCATTTACTAAATTTAAATGCATTAAATTACTTACAATGATTATTAAATGATTCGTAAATTTTTACTATGGTATCCATCATTTTGAGGCAGTTCGTGCCCTGTTAAACCGCGATGTTAATGATTTAATTGCGTTTTTATACGTTGATAATCTCGAAAGAAATACTTCAAAATGTGTATATTTTAAAGATAATGAGAAAAAATAAAACGTGAATAGTCTGTAATGCTGTCAGCTGATGTAATTTCAATTCATAACGTCGCGCGTGGATGGATATCATAATGTAGAGTTGTCAGTTTTTAATTAGTTAATATACAAGTTGAATAAATTGAATAATAATTGAATTTTCTTTAATATTAAAGAAAATTTGCCTTTATTGATATATCAGAAGTTACTTTAAAAGTTGATTAAAAAATTCTACATCAATCGCAAAGCACGAAAGTCAAATTTTGAGAATTAAGATTTGATCGATACATCATCCAGTCGCTCTTCCTTTCATGTTACAACTTTCTTTCTCGGCGTGAATGATCGAGAGAGGGATGTGTACAGTATGCTACAGGGAAAATGGTGATGAGTCATATATATATATATATATATATATATATTATTAAAAAAAAATTGTAATTTTCAAACGTGGCAAAATCCACAGAAGTCGTGTACTTTTGTGGTACTTTTAATCTCATCTACTCAAAATTTTGATTCGAATCATTGGTTTTTATGTTCAGTACTTATACATAATTGCAATTGGGTTGTTCGCGAACGACTACAATAATTATGTTAAGGGTAATTTCATGCTTAATAGCGCTATCCAATTAGATTAATTCTAAGAAATAATGGTACTAATTTTTTTTTCTTATTTACGCGTTGAATAATTAATACAAAAAAAAAGAGAGCTAATTTCATATATTGATGCAATCGTCATCACTTTTGCAGGCTGACTACGATCGAAATCGCTCTAGTTATGTTAATGATGCGACACGTTATCCTTCATCTCGGAGTCCACACCACACCCAAGATTCACATGCCACGAATCCTGCGTCGCCTTCGTCGTGTATTGCCATGGTTACGGTCAATGGTACCACGTGTTCACCGACGTCACAACCTGTATACAGACAAACGACGCATGATCAGTTTGGTTACCAGCAGATGCCATTACCTACCTCATCCATTGTCTCTAATGGTGCGGTAATTCTCTTATTAGACATAATTAATTAATATTTCATAATAGGCTTCCGTATATTTTTTTTTTAATGTCAATCGTTAGACCGATCGTATTGGTCTCTGTGTTTGCCATTGCGACTGCGACTGAGATTGTTATTAAGGACATTGCTGTAATGATTACTTTTCATATTTGATATTCGTGTAGGAAACTTTCACTATAAAATACAAATCGCTTTCTCGATTGCAAAGACCTGTGCCATTGCCATTTTAAAGCTTCCATATTGGTAAAAATCGTATCATGAAATCTCATTAATTAAATTTTTAAATGAAATTAAACGCTGAAAATATCTTTTATTCATGCTACCTTCTAGTCTGGTTGATGGTCAGTAAAGGTATTTCTTAGTATACGTAGTACGTTCTTCTTATGTGAAGGGAAAAGACACTCTGGAGGATGAGAAACTAAGTACAATACATTTCGATCGCAAACCCGGTTCTTTCTGATGGAAGCTTGACTCGCTTCCATTCGGCTACTTAATTACCTGTTATAATATATTAAATAATTAGTTCTTTGATAGCAATCTCAATGGTAATTGCAATCACTAATGCAAACGCAATGATCAATATGCATCGGGACTTTTGCAATAATAGCTAAAGTAAATGGTTATTGTTTTAGGACCTACTGATCTCAGCCTAAAGAAGTCAAATTCGAACTCGAATTTAGGAAACAGCAACAACACCACAGGAACAAAATATTCTCTAAATCCCAATGAAGTAGCGGCTGTAAAACAATTAATAGCTGGGTACAGAGAATCTGCTGCGTTTTTGCTGCGTTCGGCCGAAGAACTCGAACATTTATTAACAAAACACAATTAAAAAGAAAAAAAGAAAAGAAAAGCTTCATTTCGTTCACAGATCTTGTGCGTTATGGATGTTGTGTATTATTTAAAAAAAAAAAGATACAAAAAAAAAAAAATTATTTATATTGAAAGAAACCAACGAGGGATTAAATGTGCAATCAAAATTGAATTACAACTATACTGGAAGATTTACAGGAAAAGTCACGTGACAATTCTTCATTCCATCTGTTTTTATATACTTATACAGCATTATATATGTATTATATGCAATGTTTAAATTTAATCTATATTTATTTATCACTCTTTTACGAAAGCGTGGGAAATATATATATAATATATATATATATATATATATATATATGTATAAGTCGAGGTATCT